AAGGTCAGATGGCTTTGGAGGATGTGGGTGGGAGAGCAAAGCCCAATGGTTGCCTGTCTGGAGCTGGGGGACCCCAGGGTAAAGTGAAATCAAACAAGGGGTGGGACAGGAATGGGACAAGGAACATGAACAATCCTGGATGGGGACAGAGGTGTCCAAGTGTCCGCAGAGATTTTTCTTTATCCCTCTTTTGTTAAGATTMATTTATTTTTAACCTCAGACAGCTGCAAACAGCACACAGAGCCCTGCAGGAGTTGCTTACAAGGCTTTCTTAGTCAAAAGTTTATTTAGATTATTAGCTTGTGAGATCATTTATAAATGAACAGTGTGATACTCAGAAAAATTAGAAGCCCCTCTCCATGGTTACCCACTGCTGCGGCTGTAGGCGAATCTACAAATCTGAGCACTCCACAATAAAAGCACACTACTCCAGTAATTAACAGGGCTCCAGCCTACAGGGATCAGTTAAGAAGCTGGTGGGGGTGGTTTTGCTGCTTTAATGTTTGTTCATTGTAAGGAAGCATTATTTCTTCAGCAGGGGTGAGCTGTGCCAGTGCCTCGGTGCTGCTGGAGGTCGAGCCAAAGAGAACAGGATTTATGGATYTGACATAGCTGAAATAATTTTCCATAGTTGAAATAATAGCCTGCTCTACCCACCCTCTGAGGGAATTCTTTGACGCTGGTGACAGCTCAGCCCTGGCTGGTGCTCTGCAGCAGGGGAAGGGTGCCCAGGGATACCCACTGTTAACTGCCTTGGAAAAGCAATGCAAGAGCAGAAAAGAAACAGAGAATTAAGGCAGGAGCTGGGATGCTGAAGGCAACTGCTGGCATCCTCTTCTAGTCTGCTGTGGGGGAACAAGAGGAGGCAGTCAGTAAGACAGTTCAAGAACATCCCAAAGCCCCTCTCATCACAAGCTCCCCCTTCCCAGCAGGACTCTGGGGACACTGGGACACTCACCTTTGCTCGCACTCAGCTTCAGCATGTCCACCCCGGAGAAGATCATCTCCTCCGGATCCGCGGTGGCAGCGGCAGCAGTGGGAGCATCATTTCCTGCAAAGGGAGGGCAGGATGAGGGTGCTGCACCCCGGGGCTGCCCCATCACCCACCCCATCCCCCTGAGCACAGTGGGGGAGAGCCTGCACCCACTGCGGAGCTGGGGCTCATGGAAAACCCTGACTGCACACTTTGGCTCCAGCTGCAGCTGCCTATAGATTTTGGGGTCCCCTTCCAGCCTTCATATGCTGCCACTGGATGGGTGAGGGATATTTCCTTCAGCCTAGATGCCCTCCTCTCCTCTCCTAGCTCTCCTCCCTAATCCCAAGCAGTCCATGCATACTGCATACTCATTCCTCTCCTTCCCCTCCCTGTCAACCTACCAGGGCAGTCCAGCTTTCCCCGAGTAGCAGTGCCCTCAATCTTGGTGCCGTTTYTGTAGCAGCACCAGCAGAAGCCAGTGGAGAAATGGCACTGCTTGGGCAGGTAGTCGCCGTTCTCATCRCACTGTGGGCGGAAGTGGCCCAGCTGGTCATTCCCAAACCTGGCCTCTGCTTGGCACTTAGTTTGCACTAGGGCAATAGAAACAGAGGGGACACTSCGTCAGCCACCCAGGCCCTTCTCGCCCTCAGCAGCTTTGGCAGGAAATTCTATCCAGAAACAGTTAAAGGTGAACAAGCCCCAGCCTGGCGACCTTTCTGAAGCTCTTGGGCTAACTGAGGACAGAGGATTTGGGGTGGTGCTGCAGCTATTCATGGTTTTGTTCATCCCAAATGCCCTGCAGGCAGCAGAGATGCTCTGTGATGTCCTAACAGCACCAGACAGAGGCTCCCCACAGAACAAACTGGCCCATGACTGGAGGGAAGGCTTGGTTCCATGTGAGATGCCATGTGCCAACACCTCCCTGACCCTCCCCAGCTCAGCCCATCCCAGTACCTTTCTCTGCCGGGATTGCCTTGCGCTCCTCCGACTTGGGGTTCTTGGCCATCTCAAACAGCAGCCACTTGTGCATCCAGGACTCGAAGGACTGCAACGAGGAGGACAAGCACATTAATGGGCATAGGGGGGAGTTCACCCCGGGGAAGCCATGCCAGGAGCTCCAGCTTGGCCAGGGAAGGTGGTGAGCACCATCCCCTTCTCTGGGGGGGGGCAGCCCAAGCCTGGCTCAAGCTGGACTTTGTTTATCCCAGTGAGGATACCCCAACACCTTCCCAAAGCACCCAGAAGGGGAGGCAGGTGGAACAGTATGACAGTGACAAGCACTGACCTTCCAGTCTGTAGGAGTCATGGTGTTCCTCAGCCTCTTCAGGTTGCCCATCAGGTCATTCTTCATCTCCGGGAACATCTTACTGGGGTCTGCTTGCTGCAGAGCAACCACCACAGTGAGGACRAAGAAAAGTGAGGCAGAGAGAGGGGGTTGGAGCTCTGCTGGTATCAGCCACACAGACACTGCAGGAAACCAGGAGCTCCCACCAGCTCTCAGCATCCCAAGAGACCCCAGACCAGTGCAGGGGGCAGCTGTAGGGTGGAGAGGGGAGCAGGGGACCTTACCAGCAGCAGGTGCTTCACTTGGTCCTCGGTTTTGTTGCTAGCAGGGGCCTTAACCTTGAGAGAAAAGGCAAAGGAGCAACGTRAGCATGGCAGAAAGCTCCGAGGGCAGCAGGCAGCGACAACCAGTGATGGATCTCTTACCGGAAGGTCTTCAAAGGGTGCATGAGGCAGGACCCTCATGACCATGGGGGTGTTGACCATAGCCATCTTCATCTGATTCACTGGCTTGGCACCTGCCCAGAAAGGAGAACTGTGAGGGGCACCAGCCAGGTTGGGTGGTCCAGGAGGGATTCATCCCTTCTCCGCTACCCCTCCCACCATTCTGGTGCCCATGGGGCTACTGACTGGCAGGCAGCTTCATCTGCAGAGCCTCCAGCTGCAGTTTCTGGGAAGTCTTGGTCAGCTTGCTGATCTGTCCACTCTGCTGGTACACGAAGTAGATGGTGACAGCCTGGCCGGCGATGAGCAGGGCCACCAGGATGGAGAGTGTGGAGAAAGCGGCTTTGCGTGTCATCGCAGACCTGCGGGGCATGGCCAGGGAGCTCAGCCACCCACCAGCAGCAGGAGATGAAACCCTGCCATCACCCACTCCCCGTCCCAAACAGCCCTGTCCCGGGGGATTTGCAGCCAGACAAATGCAAATTYCCCCATCGCAGACAGAAGTGAAATCTCAGCATGAACGACACCCCGCCGCACAGGGAACCGAAACCGCTGCGGGGGTGGGGGGGGGGCGGAGGTGGGGACAGAGGAGGGGGACCGAGGGGCACGTGGTACATGTGGGTGGAGACAGGGCGTGGCCTGGGGATTTTGGGGAACCGCATCACTCGGGGCATCGCCTTTTGAGGGATGATGAAGCCACTTACAATCTTGCTGGTCCCATGGGATGTTGGACTACACTTATTTTTTAACATTTTAACCCAGATCCCGCCCCACGGGACATTCCCGCCCGGTGTGAATGTGGCATTGTCGGGGTGCAGCGGTGACCCAGAGGTCACCCCCTGGCTCCGCTGCCCGGGGAGGGCCGGACACTGCCTGGCCAAGGGACAAGTCCCGAACGGGACCCGCTGCGCCAGCGTCTGCCCGGTGACTGATGACGTCATAACCTCATAGGCTTCTGATTGGCTACAAGTTTTGGAAGTGGTGCGAACCCCGCCCTCTCCCTTCCCCCCCCACATCCCCACTGGGTCGGGACACAGGGAGGAGTTGGGACATGGGGGCGCAGCCCCACAAAGCACTTGGGTCCAGGGTCCGCTCCCRCCCCATGGCCGCGTCATCAACCTGCCTGTCCCGCAGCCTTTTCCCGCCAAAGCTCCAAGCCGTGACTCTCTGCCCCACCCTGCGAGCCTGGCCATGCCACCGCCATGCCTTGTCCCCGGCTGCCCCAGAGACACAGTGACCCCTTTCAGCCCATTGCCTCCCCGTGCCTCCCCAGTCCCATAGCCACCCAATTCCCTCCACCCCACAGCTGCCCCATGTTGCCCTCCTACAGCCGCCCCATGCCTCCCATCCCACAGCCCCTCAATTCCCCCCAGTCCCACAGCCACCCCGTGTCCCTGCCTTGCCTCACAGCCATGTTCTGGCCCCTTCCACGGCGCTCTTGGCTCCACAGTGCTCCATTCCAACAGCCTGCGCCCTATCTTCTGCCCCATAGTCACTCTGTGCCCCCTTGGACCGACTGTATCCCTTTCCATCCCACAACCACCCAATACCCCCCTGTCCCACGCCCCCAGTGTGCCCACTTCACCCTCCCCGTGCCCCCCATCCCCGTGCCCCCAGCAGTGGCACCTCTGGGCGTCCCCAACACTGAGCACGCCGCTGCCGCGGTCAGAGATGAGGTCCCGCTGCTCCTCAGCCATGGCTCCGATGGGCTCCCCGATGGAAATGAGCACCCCGACAGAGGCTTCTGGAAATACCCTCGGGTCCCCACCCTGCCCTGACACCCGGGGGGGGAAGCAAAAAAAAAAGTCCTATTGGCTGCTGGCACTTGCATCACTTGTTGCCAGGCAGAGCTCTGCTCCACAGGTCCCCAGTTCAGAAATGATGCTGGACACAGCCGTGAGCTCCACGGCCACTCAGTAGGGCTTCGCTGCCCACCCCACGCCACGGGCAGGTCACGGTGCCCAGCCTGGTGACAGCAGTGCCATGGGTCCGGGGGCTCTGGTACCCCTGGGGGGACAGGAGGTGAGAAATGGGAGGTGGCGGTGGGATGGGGGAGGTGAGAGGCAGCGAGTGAGGAAGGAAATGGGGTGCAGAGTTGGGACACGGGGGGTGGGACACCACGGGGAGGACCCCCCGTGCCGGAGGGGGATCAGGACTTTCCATGGGGGCACAGTGCCAGGGTATGCCCCTCCTCACTGACCTTTGCTGCTGGGGAAAATCGGCACTTGGGCTCAGCCCCTCCTTGAGGGTCACTTTGGACCCCCCCTCTGCGGGGGTTCTTGGCCAGCACTTCTCAGGCTGAGGGGACAATGACTAAAGGACCAAGGGCTTTCAAGCCCTCCTTACCTCTAGCACCATCCTCCTTGCTTTTCCCACAGCAGCTTCCAGGGGCTGAATCCCCAAAGCCAAGAGAGGAGGAGCAGCCCTTCAAGGTGAGTGACCCTAAAGCACCAGTGGGAGTGCGACAATGGGGGTCCCCAGCCCCTGCTCCCCAGCCCTGCAAGTTCTACATGGGCAGGAGTAGCCACTCACCCCATAATGCTGGTTTTTGGTGATTTTACACAATGTCCCAGAGCAGCCCAGGGGTAACACACCCCCAATAGCCACGCTGGACAGAGGGTCACACCACACCCAGCATTCAAGATGGCTCCAGCGTCAGGACCCAGAACAAAAGTGGCCAGAGTCCAATCAAAAGTGAAACTGCAAATGTGAAATTAAAAGCCAGGCACCACTGGTTATCTGACAAACCCACTGGGGTGAGATGTATTTCAGCCATTCCATTTCTTTTCCTGCTTCAGCTCTGAGCCACCCGTCGAGCAGGGACACACGGCCAGCCCTGGGACAGCAGACAAAGGGATCATTTCAGAGCATTTACAGGGAGTAGGGCAGGGTCTCCCAGCTGATGCTGTTCCTGGAGGAGGTGTGGTGGGACAATGCTCCTGCTTCCCAGGTGGGAAACTGCAGCCCCACGCAGGGGAAGGGTTTTGGTGCCCAGAGCCTGGTCCCATCCCCAGGCTCCTGCAATCCAACTGGGAAGGCCCTGGGCACCCAGGGGTGTCCATCAGCCTCATCCCAGGCCACCTGTGACAAAGCTGTATTTAGAAACCATCAGAAGGGTTTGAAAATAAAATTAAAAGGAGAGGAAATTGAGAGAAAAGGGAAGAAAAAGAAGTTAAAAGAAGGGGAAGAAAAAAAAAGAACATAAAAGCCTTCCACACTTTTTTTTTCTCTCCCTGCATGGGCACTGGGAGTTTTGGGGGATACATGGGTTTTCCTCACAGCCCCAGCCCCCACTCAGCTCCTCATTTTGCGGCCACAATCCTGCCTTGAGGCCACACCTTGAAGCTACACTCCAGATGCTTTCCGTGACCARCCTCAGCCCCAAGGGGAACCAGAGAAAGCCTGAACAGGAACTTGGTAAACAAAACCCCACCGATTCCATGGAGCTGGGCTGGCTCTGCAAACCACAAATGTGGGGGCTAACTTAGGGTTGGGGAGTGTCCCCTCCTCCAGGCAGGGTGAGCCCCTTGGGCCCCAGCCCAGAGGGGAACTGTCAGCCCTAAGCCAGGCCTTGCTCCACACACAGACATCCCCAGTCAGCTTTTCAGTACGTCACAGACACACACACAGCTTTCTCCCCAGGCCTAGGACAGACAGTGTTTTTTTTCAGTCTGTGAATTAATTTTCGAGGGGAGACAAAGACCCTTTCAGACAGCAGCTTCCATCCTGTCTGACTTTACACTTGCCTGAGGCTGGCACTGGATTGTCACCACYCTGTTACCCCAAGGCTTTGTAATTGGTGCTGTCCATCAAAAACTTCACTAGTCTTTTCTGGGGAGAAAAARCCACCTGGAGCAAGGAGTGGTTTCAGGACCAGGCCAGCAGAGCAATTATTTCAGGCAGTGAGGTGGAATAACCCAGTAGGCATTCACAGGAAGCCATTCATCACCAGCTGGGCTTTGTCTCACAGCTCTCAGGCCCCAGACCCTGCACAAAGGTTTGGGGAACAGATCTACATCTCCCACCGACCCTGAGGTACTGTCCTCAACAGAACAGGATCAGCCCTGGACAAACCTGAGAGGAATGGTGAGCAGCAGGGCTCACCAGTGACCACTGACAGCSTGTGGAGATAGAGCACAGCCCCCGAGCAGCCCCATGCCCTCCACAGGGTGAGCATCCCTGCCAGGGTGACACAGGGTGGGCAGGCACAGGGGTCCCCCACTTACAGCTCAGGAGCCATCACCTACAGGAGGGGTGCAGGTGATTCAGATCCTTGCTGAGTCACCAAAGACAAACCAGGGTCAGGCCTGGGATGGCTAAGAGCCAGGAGAGCCATCCACACCACTCTGACAGGAGGGCTTTTTCCTTCAGAAAGCCCCAGGACACGAGCCAGGCAGCAGCACTGTGCTGGGGCTCTGGTTTCTATTCCTTGTCCACCATTTCCTCTTCAGGGTTATGCATCAAAACAGGAAGCTGCTTCAAAGACGTCAGGTGGGCTGAGAAACCAAAGCAATTTTTGCCTTGAATTGTGCAGCAGACCCAGAGCCCAGCCTGCCCATGGCACAGCACTGCCAGGGCAGCACATGGCATGGGCTGGGTGTGCACCGACTCGGCTCAGCCAGCCCTGCGCACTCAGCACAACTCCAGCTTCCAAGGATTACAGGTTAATAGAGTAAATTCACCGTCCCATGGAGCAGACACCTTCCCATTCCTACATCTGCTCTACAAACCAGCAGGGATGAGCCAGCCTAGACCAGGCTTGCCCTGGGTGGGCAGCAGGAGTGGAAACATCTCCCACTGCACCCAGAGAGGAGCAGGGCCTGCTCAGTTTGTACCGCAGCAAAGGTCCTGCCTCAGGTTTGACTGTAGTGCTCACCCCAGATGAGCCCCGTGAAGCAGCCACTGAGACTTGCCCCGAGATGGTAACTCACATGGAACACACTCACTGTATCCAAGAGTGTATCAAAAACCAGAGTGGAGCTGTTGGTAAGTGTCCCACTCCCCGTTCTCCTCAGTCCTGCCCCTTCCTCCGTTCAGCTTCATTTTGGCTGAGTTGCTTCTGGTTTCATGTTTTCMACACCTCCACACAGCTCAAAGAACACTTTAAGCACAGGAAAACAGTGATTTGAACRGCAAATAGCGCATGTTTAAGACAGTAAGGGAAGTTTGTTCTAACATTTTCCATGGCCACATATRAAATAACAAATAAAGTACTATGGCTGTGCCAAGGGAAATGCTGGCTTAGGAACAGATGTCCAGGCAGAGGATTTTTTCCACAGAAAGGGGAAGTGATGCMTTAAGCAAAATTTTGCAGAAAACCCAGCAGCAGTTGCTCGCTCCCAGCCCAGGTTTCTTTWCCAGGAGATTCAAGAGAACATGACTCATTTTGAAAGCAGCTTTTGCTATATGAAGCCCAAGAACCACTGTGGCTTTGTACCAGCCAGGCTGGTTCCCCCCAACCCAGAGGCCCAGCTCCAGAGCACAAACCATTTGTGGATGGAATCAAAATGAAGCCCCTCAGCTTCTGAGCACACCCCAGTAAGGAAACACAGCTAAGCTGAGGTTTAAGAGAGCTTTAATAACAGAAGGTGCTGCACTGGTTACAGACGACGTCCACGGCGACCACCCTTCCTGCGAGTGCTGTCGGAGGGGATGGGAGTGACATCCTCTGCARGGAGAAAATCCAGAACACTGTGACCTTTCAGAAGTAACCCCTGAAACCAACTGGGCACAGCCAGCCAGCCCCAGCCATCACCCCAACACCTCGGCAGATGGACACTACAGGAGCCAAGCATGTGCAGAGGGAACTCTCCATGTAGTCAGGGTATTTGGAAACTCACCATAAACTGAGTGCTCAGGCCTTTTAATGAATATCAAGGAAACGTTCCCATCTGCCATCCCACTTAAACCAAGCAGCCACAGTGTTTTCCAAAGAAACACAGGATGCTTGAATAATTTTCAGGGCAACCACCACCACTGCATCTTGTRATTCCCCCACAATGTTCAGGATGCTTCCTCAATCAGCTGGAGAATTCTATTACTGAATCACCGAGACCAACAAAGTATTTTTAGGTGACTGAACAGCTCTGGAACAAGCACTGTAACGTCTGAGGAGCAGCAGCATCCTGGTCTAAGCTGGCGTTTACCCTGCACACAGAAACCTGGGCTTTGAGTGCTGCTCTCACCACCTACTGGTGAACTCCTGGTCAACTTAAGGATCTGTTTATATGAAATCCTTTCTTTGGTGTCATCTGAGCAACCATGAAGAATGTCCCAAAGACCAAGCAACATAGACGCCTACACAGCTCCTTTCACTAAATAATCCCTTTCTATCCTCACTCACCAATGCGGCCGATCTTCATTCCAGAGCGGGCCAGAGCTCTCAGGGCTGACTGGGCACCAGGTCCAGGAGTCTTGGTCCTGGAAGAGAGTCAGAACAAACAACCCCTTTAACAACTCAGAAGCTGAACAGTTTACAACCAACTAGCAATATTACAAATTACAAAATTTCCCTATGCCAAACTACTGTTCTCCTGTTCCAGACCCATTCACCATAAGCCCCCTCAGCTATGTTTCCATCAGTGCCCCAGTCCCCTGCCATACCTATTGCCCCCGGTTGCACGCAGTTTGATGTGCAGGGCAGTGATGCCCAGCTCCTTGCACCTCTGAGCAACGTCCTGGGCTGCCAGCATGGCTGCATAGGGAGAGGACTCATCTCTGTCTGCCTTCACCTTCATCCC